TTTTAGGAGGTATGATTATGAAGTCGTTAAGCAGTTCGTATACATATTGCGAAGCCAGCATTTAAGTTAATAAAAGCGCATGTTTTGTATTTTATTTAAACAGTAGAAAATGCTTTCTTTCGAAAAAACTTAGTAAAAATTTTTATGTTTAACTGCCGGCACTGTCGTGGATTCCTCTAACTGTTTGAATTGAATCAGAATTACTAGGCAAGTAGTCACGGCTGAGAAAATCTAAAATATTGATAAAATATAAAACAAATATCCGGAAAAGTGTCTTTTATTATTAACAATTTAACTGCTTTACCTTAACCAGTGTTGTATTGTCGATTACAAAAAATCCATAAGCGGTGAATTGCACATCCTGTTTCAGGCTCTTCGACAGAAATTTGTCAACCTGTTGAATTTGTTAAAAGGCATTGTTTATATAAAATATTTGTTGGCCTTAATCGACATACTATAGTTTTAAAATGCTCCCCTTTGCCATAGACACGCGCCAGCACTTGTGAGGTTTTATTTGCCTGAAATACATGGAGTAAATTTATTCTTAAATAAGCAGAGTGTTCAGAAAAAGTATCAAATGAAATTGATGAATTGATGAATTGTACTAAATCAACGATAAAATTTTGCCCAAATCGAAGCCAATTTTGCCTCGCCAAAAGTGACACCGTGCGGCAAAACCGAGCTCTGATTTTCGGAACAGATGAAATTTAAATGTTTAGGGTTGAAGACCCCATGCTTTGAATCTAAGTCGATAGAGATTATTCGAGTAAACATTGTATAGAAAAATATACTGCTTCATAATGGTGAAAAGGTGTCAAGTCCGCTTTTTTCAAAAATTTAGTTCTTGACGCAGAAGGACAGATGATGCCAGACTACATCGTTAGGTAATGTTACATACAAACCTTAAGTGCAATTAAATAAGAAAATTTGTTGACGTAAACTATCTTCTTAACCTTCAGTCGGCCCTTATTTTCGTGAACGAATCTGTTCTATATCAAATGATCAAGTTCGCCCAACTTTTTTGTGAGAATTTTTAATTGATTTTGGGGGTTAAAACCAGTGTTGCCGTTTTGATACATATGTATCCAATTGAATACATTTTCGCCTTAAATTTTGAGGGATACTTCGTTTTTTTCCTCAGCGTAAATTTGGATACCTTTTCCCATAAGTAATTGTAAGTTGAAGGACATTTTTTTTTTTATGTACGAACTATTATAACATTTTTAAGAGTTGGCTGCTCATCCTCCAATCAAGAAATTTTTCCTTATTTTTATCATTTTGAAAAATTAAATTTTTAGCAACATACGCGTGCATGTAATAACACCAAGTAGTTTGCAAATTTTAAAAAGTTTTCCGACCTGTAGTAGTTAATTGTAATATCGAGAAATCAACTTTTATATCTTGAGCAACTCTTCTCTTAGCAGTCAAAGGAAATTGACAACCATGCCGACGAATAATTTTCAACTATAACTTGACTGCACTAAAAACAACTTATAACTTCTCAATTTTCAGTTATACACTGCCGGAACAAAGTATTGGCACAGCAAATTTTTCACAATAAATGCAACAATTTTCATTCTAAAATTTTTCAGCTAATTTCGTATAAAAATATGGTTCATTCTACAACAAAAAACATAAAAATATAATTCCTAAACTTTGTGCGAAACTCGCGAAAATTCAGCAAATTCTCATGAAAATTTTCAACTTTTTAATAAGATTTTTTATAATTTTTTTTTGGGTTTGCAGATTTGTAGCCAAATCAATTTTATCATAATAAAGTGCGCCAAGGCTAATAACTGTACCAAGTTTGGTGGAAATTTATAAACCGGTTACCGAGAGACACATATGTAGGCGTAAGTAGGCGGTGCCACGCCCATTTTTCAATACTTTCTCTTAGCATGATTTTCTGCTGGGAGGTCATTGCACATATCCATTTTGAATGAATTAGATTAAGTAGTTATTAATTTATCGCAGCTTTCGAATTTCTGTAAACTACCGTTATATGGGAGCTAGGCGTGGTTATTATCCGATTTTACTAATTTTCAACGCCAATCTACCTTAGATAAAGGGCAACCTACTTACTACTTTCGTTGACATATCTCAATTTTGTCTCGAGTTATCGTGTACAAGGACGGACGAACAGACGGACGGACAAACAGACATGGCTTAATCGATTTATTTTTTATTTCTGAGCATTGATGCATAGAATACATTTGTCTTTATCTATCTCCATTCGCTTAGGCTGTTACAAACAACCTTTATGCGGAGAATGTTATAATAGCCTTATGCACAAGTGCGCTAGGGTATAAAAATGGAATTACAAAACTTCATATCGAACGTTTAGTAATATAGATATGTAATACAAAATTATGTTTTTAGAGATTTCATTATACAATTAACAAGCTTGTTAAGGAGAATATATTCAGCCTAACAGAAGATTAAATTTCCCAAAGCTGGCGAAGATATGTGTCTCTCCATCTGTATTTTGGTATACCAACTGGTTGAATTGATCAAACTTTGATTTAGTTTTTCAACAAAACTAAAATTTTGAAATAACTCTGTATATTATGAGGATTTATTTTGGCTTTCTTACCCAAGCAGCACTCCAGGCCCGCTACCTTGTACACCCCTTAACAAGTGTCCTACTAATATACTAAGGGTGGGTAACTCTGTAAATTTTGGTGTGCTGACTCAGTAACTCCAACTCACTTTAATGAGTCAGCACAGTGAGCTGGCACAAGTGTGCTATCGCACAATTGGTATGTACATCGAAATTATTGATGATGTTAGTAATCGAAATCGATTTAGAAATGGTTATCCTTAGCTTCTGTTCGTAGCCGGCCGGCAAAATTTTAGAAAGCTGATTTCAACTGGTGAGTTCATTTGCAAAATAATTCCTCTTCTTGGATGTATGTATTATCTTCTAGCCCAGTTATGCATACTCAGCATTGCTTGAGAGTTGTCACATAAGAATCTGTTAAATGGGCTATGCATGTAAGCGGTTACCCAACGCATAGCACTTCACATGTAGAATTCTGTTTGGTTTTGATTTTTACGTAAAAATGGTATAGCAGTGCAAGTATGCATAACTGGGCTATTCGCCTTGCTTCTTGTTAAATTTGGTAGTCGTATATTCAATTGATGGTTAGTCTAGTGATGCCATCTATTATGGTACTTTTTGGAAGATCGTATTGTGTGAATGTGTCAGCTCATCAATTGAGTTACCACATCGACACAGTTCTAAACAATGCAAGCCGCACCGAGCTATGCAAGTGTCAGCACATCAACTGAGTTACCATATCGACTGTGTAGCACACTGAGCTATACATTGTCAGCACATAAACTGAGTTACTGAGTTACAAATTTTTTCAGATGTGAGTCTGAGCGTGCGGCACAGTTCTAAGAGTCAGCACAGTAACTCAAAACAGTGCTGAGTTACCCACCTCTATAATATACATTTTCTTTTCACAAACAAACATTGTATCCCACAGTTACGTTACTTTAACCACCCTTTTGTATCATTTATCTTGCCCAAGTATACAATTTTTTTTCAATCGGACTAATTTGGTATATAAAACCGATGTTTTTAGTTTCCACTTCTATGGGAGGTAGGCGTGCATTTCAACCGATTTTGCTACAAACCCTCTGTGTAAAATTTCATTGATCTGCGGTGACTCCTACCTTTGGTCACTCTCTACATGGGAAAGTTACACTGTGTGACGCTATCCTGTGGGTACAGTGCCATCGGTGTCGTCGAGACCTGGTTTAGACGAATCCCCGATTGTATATCCAAAAGTACTGGAATATAATACCTCTGCTACCAGATTTCAACATTCGCTATCGCTAATTTTTGATCGCCAAAAATCTCCAATTTTAGCCGATTATCAGGGCCGAAGAATATAAGCAAGAAAAAACTCCCTTCTAAGCGCTTAGATAAGCACTAAAACATTGGTAAATATGCTCGCAAAACAACAAAATTTAAGTGCAGTTTGATGTTTTGTTTTTTATTCACTTTATTTCAAGGTTTGAAAAATTGCAATGAACAATCAAGTTTTGCTTGACAAACTCAAATAATAGAGATCTGCGATGGTCGTTTAAATTTTTTTAAATATTTGTTATGCTCCATAGGAGATAAATTACTTTTGATCTCGGTAACACCAATCCTTCCCGTGGAGAAAAACCATTGGTTTTAAAATTTTGTATCCAAACAGATTTGTAATTGAGGTTAATAAACACTAAATCTGTTTTCACGTTATTATTTGTAAACATTTCTTTAGTTCGACGAATAAAGGAACGTCCAAGAAATGGTCAAGAAAAATGTATTGACCCAAATTTTCTTAAGCAGTACGCAGTTTTTAAGAAATTTGCTCCGCTTTCTATTATGGTTTGCTAGAAGTTTGTTTGTGAAGAATACAAGTCACCCTTGTTTTGAACAGAAATATATGTCCGTTCCATTATTCCGTAAGGAAAATGTGAGACAGCAGGCTATAAAATATCAGAGGTCAAAACTCGTTGGACACAACTTTTCATACACACGAAATAATAGCAATTTATTTCTAGACCGTTTTCTTAAAAGGTCTGCACTCAGATTTATGCATTGAAATAAGCAAAATAAGTATGATCGTTGAAATTAAGCTTGGAAACCCTGAATAAGCAAAATAAGCAATTCCAAGCAAAGGCTTAAACTTTTCGGCCCTGCTGGTTATATATTGCATCTGTAAGGTACTTTTTCATGTCGTGCACTTTTAGCGAACAACGCAACAAACACATTCAAAGCAAACAAAATTACAAAGCGTCAATATGAACTATAATTACGGATTAAATAATATTTCTGTACAGCATTCCTGGCACATGTTCCGGCGCTAATTTCAAAAAAAAAAAAAATTAACAATTCATATACGATCTACCCATTGAGCTAAAATCTCACGTCGATTTGATCTCATTTCGATTGAACTATAACTAATTCAAATTGAAATTTTGGTCAAATTGGCCCAAATCCCGCAAGACAGTAAATGCGTATTTTCGCACGAAGTAGTAAAAGCCTATAAATTGCTTAGGAAAGTTTTTGATTCTTACTAAAAAATGAATACTCAGTTGTGTCTTGAGCAGGGACCGAGAACGTGTTCCAGTTTTGGCTTAGTTCTGCACGAGAACAAAATGTGATGTCAAAAACGTTCCCACAAAAGAGCCAAACGGGATCAAAACTCTCGGAAACGTTCTCAAAAGAACAAAATGCGAACAAAACTCTCGGGAAAGTTCTCAAGAAGAACAGAATGAGAACGAAAATTTCGGGAACGCTTCCAACGAGATCAAAATAAGAACGAAAGTGTCAAGAACGCTTTCAAGGGGGATCAATTAAGAACAAAAGTCTGGCGAACGTTATGCTAGAGGACAATAGGAGAACAAAAATTTTGAGAATTTTACGTTAAGAATTTGCGCGTTGAGATCGTTTCAGTGAGAACCACGATTGCTAACTCTAATCCAAGGGAAAGGTGGATCATTTAAACTTCCTGATCGTTTGTCATTAAGGTGAACTGTATATTGACGCAACAATTTTATTTGCAAGAAAAGTTCGTGCCTAAAGTCTTTTAAAGTCCTTTTTTGATTAATTTTAATATTCAAACATTTCAAACTAATGGAACGCTATGAGAAAAATGTTTTCTCGATTCCTTTCTTCGCGAATAGTTCAGAGAAGATTTGTTCCCGTTTCGTTTTGTCAGAAAGTTCCTGAGACTCTAGTTGCCAAATTCCTTAAACTTCCTTAGACTTTTGTTCCGGTTTTGTTCTCATAGAAATGTTCCCGAAAGTATTGCTTGCTTTTTGTTCACTTACGGAACATTCCACAGGGTTTTGTTCTTACATAAGTAATTACCATTGTGAAAGTTCTCGACAGTTTTGTTCTAATTTCGGTTTTGCCCTTGAAGCGTATGAGAACGACATTTAGTTTCGATCTTATCTTTTGTTCTCGGCCCTGGTTTTGAGTAGACGTTATATGAAATTTATTTAGACGAAATATGCCAACCTCTTTGGTAGCCTTGTCACAACTGGTCGCCAATAATATAGACGTTCCCGCGAGAAACGGTATCCATGATGAAACCCATAAAATGGTGTAAAAATCTTCATCGAAATCCCAATTGTATGAGAAGACCATGAATGTGCATGCCAGCATTCCATAGGTTTTGTACAAAAAATATGCCAGTAAGCCCAAATCGGTATAATCGTTAATCATTTTCAATACATCCACTAAATCACTGTGCAAACCATAAATCACTTTTAAGTTTTCAGCAAACGGTCGCAAGTTCTCTTCACTATTGATAACTCCTTTTTTGTCAGAACTGTTAAGTGATTTAAACATTCTTGACGGGATTTCATCGGCTTGCAACATTTTTCGTTGATATTTGCTTAAGAATTGATTGATGTAAAGAAAACGCACCGCTAACAGGTGCAACAACGACGAAATGAATACGACAAAGGTACATGAATATGCATTCCCCAGTTGATAAAGCATTTCACATACAATAAAAGCAAACGAGGGATAATCCGCAATTCGCTTGAGGAATAAAAAACCAAAATAGGCCATATAGCAATATATTATAAGCAAATATGTGTTATGACGATTTTTAAAGCACGTCTTTGGTACTGGCGATTCGGGAAACTCTATGAGTATTTGATCGATTTGCATTAAACGATTGATAATTACAATAAATTTTGTTTTATTTCGAGCGCAAGACCACAAAATCACAAAATCGCCTAGCAACCAAAATGCCGCGTCGGTCATATTGTTAAAGCCATCCGTCTTGCTTTTTATGAATAGTATTTCCAGTATTTTTGGCGAAAGCAAGAAGTACACATTTAAAACATTCAGTGCAACTTTCACATAAAGTATTGCTCTGTTAATCAACAACCAACGCCGATTGGGCATGCCGATTTCATGATAGTTGAGCGTAGTGTAGAATGGTATAAGACCCATTGATTTCAGTATTAATAAAGGCCACTTTAAGTAGGAAAGTATGGGATTTATAACGCGTGTCGGTGTAATGTTTGTAGAAATATTTCCGCGATTGCTATTTCGCATTTTGCAGTTTGGAGCGGTCGACAACTTGCACGAGTATTAGGCAAAAGTTAACTAATTGCATACGTTCGATTTTGAAATAAATAGCTAACTGCAGAAATTGTCGCTAATGAAATAATTTAATTAATTAAAAACCATCGATATTAATATAGAAGCAAACTTAAATACATTTGTATATGTGTGTATGTTGTAAACGCTTGCCAATAACTTGTATATCACTTTCAATTAGCGTAAATGAATTGCCAATTCGGTACCGCTAGTTTCCATTTAAAAGGCAATTACTCCAAATTGCTCTCTCACATGTTCTCTAAGCACACAGCAAATACCAACTTTGTTTACTATCTTTTAAGAACCGTTGTAAAAAACAACGGGAGGACAATACCGTGCGACAAGAACCAAACAATTTCAAAACACACAAAAAAATCAATATCAGGGACCGTGACATTTATAAGCGATATCGAAAAATCATTATTTAATCCTTATGTTTTGATTTTTATCTTTTTTATTTTTCCTCAAATTTAGGAATTATTTCAAAAGTTCTATGTTTGCTCGCAAACTAAGTGATACTTACTTGTTGAGTTTTATTTTCTGTTCCCTTCCCAAACGACAACCTCACCCACTGCCCGTCAAGGCTTGGTGGTCCCTGTATATCCTTGCTCAAGGCTGAGCTCCGGTGGTTGGACTGGACTTGTACTGCACGAGATGCGCATCGGCGAACGCTCAGCACGACTTGAACTTGCTAGTGGATGGGGCATTACGCACCAGACCTTAAACTTCGCGTTGAAAACGCACCGACAAATCCAGAAGCGTCTGTGCCCCAGTGGGGCAGCTTGCTGGTCTGCATCTGGCCCACATTAGGCGGCAGGACAATTTTCACCTGACAGTAGGTATTAAATGCAACCCAACCCACAACTGCGAGAGCGCGACCCTTCCACTCTGACGCCAAGAGACAAGGCTCTTCAGAAGAAGCATGCCTACATTGTACGGAATTATGAGCGACTCCGTGAGGAAACAGCCTCGAATGCTTGCGGAAATGTGGCCGCTGAGGATATAGAGATAAAGATAAGGACACAAAGAAAAAGAAAAAAAATGCAAAGTTAGAAAATTTATCGCAAAATTGCACAGGTTTACAGAAAAAAAAGTGTATGCATATTGAACCAAATCTCTATATCCCTATGTTATTAAACGCGCTGAATGCGAACCCGAGGTATGTTGGCCTCAATCACGTCAGGTTCGAGGTTATTTGAATGTCAAGTAGGGAAAAATTCATTGAATAAACCTGAAAATTCAATACAATTCTTCTGAATTCGACCTTGAGATGAACTTGGCTGCGACAGAAAAAACCTATGTATATGTAATCTTCAGGTTTATTCAATAAATTTTTCGCAATTTGACCTTCAAATGACCTCGAACCCTACGTGATGAAGCTTAGCAGACCTTGGATTCGCATTCAGCGTCTCGAATATCATAGGGATATATTGGTTTGGTTCAATATGCAGAAACTGTTTTTTTTTTTTTTGTAAACCTGTGTTATCTATCGAATGTCTCCTTAAACCATTTTCATTCTTATCTCAAAGTATATGGTTATGATGACAGAATAGCAAATACACCGTTGCCTTTTGTTCATGCCTTTAATAGGCTACAAAAACTGCATACCCTAAATTTTTCTAAGAAATCGAAATGGAAAGATGAAAATTTTTGATGCAGTTTTTTTAAGTATTTCTAGAATTTTCCCGAGTTCTATATCGACACCTGAGTGGAAGATCGACCTATCTCGGCAGCCAGTTCTAAAACGCCCTATTTCAGAAAAGTTTTCAAGAACGCCCTACTTCAGAATTTGATATTAAATAATAATATTTCAGATTTTTTTGACGTTTTTGAATTGGCAGCTGAGATAGGGCGTTTTTGAATAAAATTCTGAGATGGGGAGTTCTTCAATCAAATTCTGAGATGGGGCGTTCTTCAACCAAATTCTGAAATAGAGCGCTCTTGAAACGTTTTCGGAAATAGCGCATTTTCTAACTGGTCGATCTTCCACTCAGGTATTGATATAAAATGGAAAAAATTTTGTTAGCTGCTTTTTGCTGTTGAAATATACTTTTGTAAAAAAGAAAATAAAAAAATGGTACGGAAAATATAAATAAAGGAAATCGTCCAGCCGTCAGGGTATTCATATTTTTGACGCTGACTGTATTTCTAACTTGTCGCTTTCTGGAATTTTCACTTCCACTGGCACAGATATTTTTTTCGGATAACCAAGGCCACATTAAATCTTTAGGACACTCTGAAACGTCGGAGAAAGCCGCAACGGAAATACTCTTTAGGTATGTTTGTGAATAAGTAAGCCAATACGCAATGGGGAGGGAGTGAACAGTCTTAACATTTATAGAATTTACTGCAGTTTTTGCTGCAGCTCAGGTTTTTGGTTTAAATTGGCTATAAATTAGTATATGCACAATTATTGATTGTTTTTAATTAATTAGAATTTACCTTTAGCAACAAGGTACCATATATGTAATTAAGCTTGCTAATCGTATACGTATCTATACATGTGTCCATATGCATGTCGAACATACCGAATACAGTTACTCTTGGAGTGTTAGTCATGCAAGTTGCCCGTCGCTTCACTACACACAAAATGCAAAATCGCAATCGTGTAAATAGTGCCATAAACATAAATAAACAAAAACTCGTTATACATTCTTTGTTTTCGTATCTGAAATGGCATTTATTAATACTTAAATCTATCGGTATTATACCATTCTACACTATGGTGAACATTTACGAAATCGGCATGCCCAATCGGCATTGGTTGCTAATTAGTAAAAGCATAATTTCTATAAAAATAGCATTGAATCTGTTGCATCTATATTCTTTACTTTCGCCTACAATATTGCAAATGCTCTTCGTAAGAAGCAATACGGATGGCATTACCAATGTGCTGGACGTGGCGTTTTGTATGCTTAGCGATATTACAATTTCGTGGTCATGTGCTCGAAATGCAACAGCAATAATTGCAATAATCAATGGTTTTTTAAAAGTTGATAAACTTTTGAGACAGTATCCTGAATCGCCAGCACAACGATCGTACAGCGGAAATCTGTATAACACATATTTGTTGTTGACATTTGGTTATATTTTTACATTAATGGTGGCATTCGTCAAACGCTCCCTGGAGGCTCTTTCTATTTATTACTGTATATATATATCATTCTATCAGCTTGAAAATGCCAGCTCCTGTGCATTTACCATACTAATTTCGTCGCTGATGCATCTTTTGAAGGAACGTTTCCAATATGTCAATCAATTGTTGAGCCAATATAACAGCCATGTTTTGCAAAATGGTAAGCGGCCAGTGCTCAGTGATAAGAGTGACGAGAATCTACGGCTATTTGTACAAAATTCAAAATTCATTTATGGCTTGCACAATGATTTGTTGGATATATTCAAGATGATTAACAGTTACGCCGATTTGGGTTTGCTGTCATTTTTACTATATGCGTGCTATGGTTTACTTTCCTGCGCCTACAACTTTGCTTTGTACGATTGGAGAAATAAGGAGGATTTATATTACGTAATATGGACATTATCGTGGATACCGCTTTATGCGGGAATATTAATATTGTTATCAAATAATTGTGACGGCACAACGAAAGAGGTAAGAAGACATTACTCAATTAAATTGATAAAAATAGAAAACTAAGATTGTGCAACTTCAAACGCGCTATATTCCATAAATATGAATGAGTAAAAATTAAAATGCTGGCAAAGCGAATTCATATAAGGTGGTAGCGGTAGTACAAAAACAAAAACTAACATGTATTTTGTTTTCGCTTTCGGTACGCAAATGTCAAATTTTAGTTATTCTTCGCTCAAGGAGGAAGAGGAAAAGAATATTCCAACACTCTTACTTCCGCATTCACTCATAAGGAGTTTTGACATACTACGTGTACCGAAGCGAATTAAAGTAGTTGTTCTAGCAACAACACCTTATATGAATTCGCCTTAAATGCTGCGTAATCAAGTTTTGAAAGATTTTTATATGAAACTTAACTCAACAGCCGTCTTTAAAGACAGGGCGTTTTCGAACCGGCTGCCAAGATATCTCGACCTTCCACTTAGCCGTCGATATAGAATATTTTTTGAAGAAAATTGCCACGAAAAGAGGGAAGGAATATTCCAACACTCTTACTTCCGCATTCACTCATAAGGAGTTTTGACATACTATGTGTACCGAAGCGAATTAAATTAGCTGTTTTACTTTTTCGAAAAGAGCTGCCATCTTTAAAAACTTATATTTAAATTATTTAAAAAAAATAAATCAATTATTATAAAATGGGTATCAACCGAAATGGTTATGAAAAGCTTCGTTTCTTAGCTGAACTGTAGGAGGGTTGCCACCTGTTTAAAAAAATCATATTAGGTAAGAAAAATATGTATAACCATATGTGAAATATGAAAGTAGTAGTTTGAAAATATTTTGAAGAGGGTTGCTTGAAATATCGAATTTAGTTTACTTATACACAAGTTATATGAAACATCAAAATATGGATGTCAAACGAAAGAGTGCTGAGAAATCTTTCGATTGAACGCTAAGTACATTTTTGAGGCGTTGAAATAGGATTGCCACCTTTTTAAAAAGTTAAATTTCAATTATTTAATAAGTCTAATGAATTATTAAAATATGGGTATCAATCGAAGGGAGTTTGAAAAACTTTTATTTCTGAACTGTACTCTGTTAGTTTAAATATGTATCGCGATGTCAGGCGAAGCAGAGTTAACAAGGATACAGCTTGAAAATACTTTTGAAGAGGGCTGCCACCTGTTTGAAAGGTCTAACTCAATTAACTAAAACAAAAAGTATGTGAAATATAAAAATACCGTAGTCAAAAGAAAGAATGTTAGGAAATCTTTAGTTTGACCATTTGGAATGTTTGAAGAAGGTTGCCATTTGTTCGAAGAATCAAATTCAAATTAGTTCTTCAATTTATTGAAATAACTACATGTGTATCACAATGTCAGACGAAGGAGATTTGAAAATATTTTAGTTTGGGAATACTTTTGAAAGCGAATTTCAAAAGTGAGAGGTCAAATCAAAGACCTTACCTGTAGATGTGTGATAAAGTTTTATTTTTTTGTTTTTAATTAAGAACTTTTTTCCTTCGATATAGGGTGATTTGAAAATGGCATATGCCAGACTGCTCTTCACTGGCAATCGCATCGCTTTTAACTCTGACTAACGTTTGGAATGTTTTGTAAGTTTTTGAATTAAGTTTTGGGCGTTTTAACGCCATGCGGATCCACTAGTCCTATTTAATATAAAAATTAATCGGGTTTGCTAAGTTGATTTTAATATATTTTATTGACAAGTTTTGTATGCGAATATACTGGACACAATATCATAACCAGGTAAGCGTCCAACGAAAGCGGTTCAAGAACGATTTATTTCGAACATTTCGAGGGAGGCTTTAAAAGAGCTGAATCTATTTCGAACAGATTTTTAACGAGAGTTGCCATCAGCTTATGAAACTCAATTTAGTTCACAAGTGAAACAAAATCCCACTAATATTATAAATGTTAAAAGTTTTGAGATTGTTGTAAGTTCAGCACAATTTCACAATATGGATGCCAACTGGTAAAGACGTATTACGAAAACATTTCGAAGAGGATTGCCACCTATTTACAAGTTTTGATTAAACTTTATTAGTAACCCATACTTCGTTGTGACAGTATGGAAGGCTAATGAATGAGGTTAAAGAAATCTTTATATTGACAATAATTTGAAACGGGGTTTCCATTGGTTTAAAAGTCAAATCTTACTTTTTCATTAGTTAAATAATCGAAACAGGTATTAGAAAGCTTTGTTTCGAAAATAGTTTTAATGGCGGTTGCTACTTGTTTAAAAGCCAATTTGAATTAAATTAAAAAGTTAGAAGGAACATTACCAAGTGATCTCAAGTCAAAAACAAAATATGTTTAAGAAGGCTTTGTTTCTAAAATATTTTAATAGGGGTGCCACCTGTTTAAAAGTGTAATTAAATTTAATAAGTTACTTTAGATTAATATTATAATATGAATGTCGAATGGAATATGTTGACAATGGCCGTAGGTTTTTTGTATAACGTCACCTCAAATGCAAAAAAACGTAACAAATCGCTGAGATTCAAAAAGCCGTAACTAATAAAAAATTAAAAATTCAGTTTTTGATTGATATGATGGATTTCATCGAATTACAACTCCCACACCATTGAATGAAAAAATTGAAAAATTTTAGTCACGACTTTTTCCATTTTAGTTACGATGTTGTTAGGTCTTTTTGCATTTCAGGCAACGATATGTAAGTTCACTTAAATTTTTTTAAATTTGTCGATGTCTACCAATTTCTTAATGACCTTTCCGCTTACGTTATGGCCATTCAGCCCATGGTCTGTATGTACAGCATCAAATTATTTATTCTAAGGTTGCATAAAAGCATTTGATAACTACTGCTGCCCCATCTAACTGAGCTTTTATTCTACTATTCTTTCAGACACTCTCGCACGGATTTTTTTTTTTTGGGGTGAAGGGGAATATGAAGAAAATAATAAATATAAAGATAAAGTTAAGAACGTAAATGTAAAGGTAAGATTGAAGTAAAGGATTGAATCAAGAGAAGTAAAGCTATTTTTGACTTCTAGCTTTTTTTTTTACATATGCACATACATATATATAGTACATACATATATATATGACCTTAACGGCTCTGTAACTTCTTTTACTTTTCAGGCAAACAGAACTACACAAGTACTAGCACGTATCTACGGCAAAGGAGAGAAATACCAAAGTACCGTGAGTATGAAAATTCAATGAAATGAAATTTCTCTTTATATACTACATACACGTACATACATATGTACTACATATGAATGTACATGTACAGATAGACGAATTTCTGACAAAGAGCGTTAAACAGGAAGTGAGCTTTACAGCCTATGGATTTTTTGTTATCAATAATAGAACATTATTTAAGGTATGTATGTATGTTAATAGATTTGCAAAAGAAATCATCCCAGTAAATTTGTATCAATAATTTGAAGATTTCTCATTTTATTTTCATTTAGATTTTTACGACCGTTAACACTTACCTAGTCATGTTGATCCAATTCAAGCAACTGGAGGAATCAAAGAACCGATGAAGGAAGAATTTTATAAGATAAATTGTGAATGAATCTTATTTGAATATGAAAGATGTGATAAAATCGAAATGACAAAAATTAAAACTCAATTACATACCGTTACCGCAATTAAAAGTTAAGATATTATTATCAACTATAAGTATAAGCCGTTGCTGACTTCTGCAATTTACTTTAAATTTTAAGCATCGTACCATTTTGCCCATTGACTAGCGATAACAAAAAAATCATTACATATTCTTTATTTTCGATGATACCAAAATTGCTACTTGCATATTTATACAGCATTGCAATCGTTAGGATTAATTAAAAAAAACGAAATTATCCATATGCACACTTTCGTTTGAAAACCGAAATAATGCATATGTGAACAACAAAATAAAGCATACACGCACAGTTTCGGTTGACACCGAAATAATGTCGAAATGCACAGTTTCCATATACGCAATTTCGGTGCCCCATTTTGTCCGCATAAGTATTAAGCAAATTAGTTAAGTAACCTTTATTTTAAATTTAAGTTAGCTGAAAAAATATTGCAAGCTTCAGTTGTCATGGCAACACTAGCTTTTTAAAAAGCATCATCAATATTTTTGTCAGTCTCAAAGGGATTCAGAAATTTCATTAACAATAAATAAATCAATATACATCTAATACCCAGGATTGTACTAAGTTACAGCCGACTTATAGATATAAATCCGTAAGTGGGTACCCAGACACCACGGTTGGACTACAACGTTAATTATTTTGGTCGGCCACACTAGGGTTAAACAAATTGTCCGACATGGTCAGATTCAATTTTTAGTATTATAGTTTAAAATATAATTATCTTGAAATAAACATAAATTTTTTATTGGTGAAACATGGAGAAAAGGACTTATGAATTCACTTAAATATTGCATTAAATACTTATCTGTGGAACATACTAAACACTTTTTAAATTATACCTTATAGAGAACTCACCTGTACAAGAAAAATTCATGTTACAAAATAAAAATCGATCGCCCCTTTTGGCTTTTGGCGTTCTTTTAAACTTTAGCATTACATTTTTACTTTTCAGAGCGCTGCATCAACTAACACTTTCACACCGATCATACCAGCAGGTGCAAGAGGTCGAGACCCCTCCTGGACATATTTCGATAGCTGAACCATTATTTTAGCCAACCCAAGAGAATAAAACCCAAAGACCGAAACTTTATTTTTGGTTACACTCTGTACGCAGACACGAAAAAACTCGTAAAGTTTGACAACTATTTAGATTTGGTGTATAATTAGTAAAAAAAATTATGAAAAAAATAAAATTTTTTTATGCAAAAAATTATTTATTTAAATCTATCGCACACTCTAATGCAAAGTCGACGAAATTTAAAAATATACTTCTTTGTGAGTAAAAAATTTTAGATTTTCGAATATCATGATCAAATAAAAAAAAATAGGTGTTTTCTTTTTTTCGATAAAGAATGTAATAAAAATATTTCACACAATAAAAATTGTCTATGAAATGACCTATATGTAAGTATGTATGTATGTGCTCGCATTTGAGATTCACGAGTAGGTATTTTTTTTAGAGCGTTAATTCTTAAATGAAAAAGGCATTCACCGAAACGTACGGCCCTAAAAAGTCATAATGTCCTCCCCTTTTCATTTAACGAACCAAACAAAGTGACAAGTCCTGATTTAGGAGACAAAAATTAATTTACAAACATACTTACATAGTAGTATGTATGAAATTTTGTTGGTTTCTTAAACACTATTATGTGGTCAGTGTTAATTAGGGATGTTAATTTTTCAGCTTTTTCCGATACCGGGATTTTCGGGATGGCGTTATCACAATCCCGGGATCCCGAGATTAGTCCCGGAATCTAGATATTCATTACTTTTCAACAACTTAAATCGAAAAAATTGCTTCTGTATTGCTTGAGAAGGTCTCGTACGATAAAATAAATAATAAATAAATGGGTTTGAAACCTACTTTTTTTTTAAGTGGCGTTTTTATTTTTTTCTCTGACGTCAGGATTTATTATAAAGGACTTTGTAATTTCAAAGATACGATTGATTCCAAAAGTATATCTAAAAAAAATCAATGCAATGTATAATAAAAATATGGGTACCAAATTCAAGAGGAAATTTTTTTTAGAATTTAAAAAGATTAAATTTTTTTTGGATTCACAAGGAAGAATAGGCAATTTTTTAAGCTTATAAAGTTAGAAGGACAAAATTCGAGTATGTTATCGAGTTTATAAGAGTCCTTAACATATAATTTTTTCAAAAACAAATATTGCGAAATTTCAAGGATAAAATTTTAAGAGGACATTTCAATACTTACCAATCCTTCTACACAAAAACTTGAGTCTGTTTAAATTCCACAGGATTTCCTCTTTAATTTGAAATCCAAACTTCTTCTCTAAGCACATTTCTCTGAATTTTTAAATAATTTTTGAATTACTGACTTCAGAGTGAAAAACTAAAAACGCCATTGGACCATGGTTTCACGAATATTTTGATATTTGTGTTTAAAATTTACTATCACGCGGTGTTATATGTATAATGAGCTAGACATTTATAAAAAAAAGATTAGTTATTAAAAAAGGAATAAAGCCAATACTGGTCCAGAAAAGTAGTTTCTATTATTGCCATCAGTGCAAATAACAAATCCCGAAAATCCCAGGATTATTTGCCAAGAATCCCGAGATTTTTGCGACCTCATAACGGCCGGAATCCCGGGATCACGGGTTTAACATTCCTAGTGTTAATGCATTGTTTACATTTACGTTGTGATTTTCTATCTTAGCGACTTGTCTACAACCGAAATATTATCTTTTATAAACCAATTAATTAGCTTCACCATTTTACCCAAATATTTAGGTACTTCCCTTATAGTTAAGTCACATAGTAGCTTTTCCAGTGTAACGTGAGCAAGTTGTTCCTTTAATATGGAAAATCACAACCGCGTCTTCGACAAAAAAACGGCACGCGATACGCACGAAAAAGACGTTAATTCCATACTCGCGTATCTCAAGTGGATTTTATTAATACTGAAATCAGTTGGTCTTATGCCAGTTTACACAACGCTTAAGTTTTCTAAGATCGGCAAGCCCAATCGACGTTGGTCACTCATTAGTAGAGGCATAATTTGTATTAAGTATTTTTTAACTCTAATACATCTGTATTTTATACTTTCGACTGACACTTTGCAACTAATTTTCAAAGGAAGTAATACGGATGGCCTTAGTAACATTCTGCACGTGATACTTTGTATACTTAGTGATGCTACAATTTCGTGGTCATGCGCTCGAAACAAAACAAAATTCATTGCTATTTTGAATCGTTTACTGAAAATTGATCAGCTGCTCATACATTTTCCTGGATCGCCACAACAAAAAAAGTGTCATCAAAATCAGCATAACACCTATCTTATATTGATCCTGTGTTACATCACCTTCTTATGTGTTGTATTATTCAAAAGAATAATGCAGTATAATCAGTTTGCCTTCTATATATGCATTTTGTGTTATAATTTCGAGAATGTAGTTTCCTTTACATTTATCTTATTCATTTCGTCGTTGTTGCACCTATTGTCGATGCGACTTCAATACATCAATCAGTTGTTGGGCCAATATCAGAGGAAAATGTTTCAACGAGAAAACTTTCCAACGAAGTGTTCTAAGCTTTTAGAGAGCTCCGGTAAAAAAGTAAACACTGACAGCGAAATGAAATTGCGACCATTTTTAAAAAATTCTAAATTAATTTATGGATTACACAATGATTTGTTGGATGTTTTGAAAATGGTCAACGATTATGCCGATTTGGGTTTAGTGGCGTATTTACTTTATATATGCCACGCATTACTGTCATGCACATACATGTGCATTTTGCAAAAATGGAGAGTCGACACTAATAATTTCTTCAAGTTATTATGGGCTTTGTCATGGTTACCGCTTTTCATGGGAATGCCGATGTTATTGACGAGCAGCTGCGAGAAGGCCACCAAAGAGGTTTGATAATCTAATTTGTTTTTCTAAAAAATAGTGGAGCATTCCAATATACAAATATACAATTTTTAAATTTTTATGTATGTATGTATATCTAAGCAAGATGTTGGGCCGTATGAATGAAAACTAAGAAAATACTTTTTCTTAAAATTTCAGACCTTTTACTTAAATTTATTTCGATGAATCGAGTAGAATGTCTGAAATATTAAGAAAAAGTAAAACGTTTTGTTCAGGCGGGCCAACTATGTGGACATTACAGCATAAAATATATCGATCAAATTACTTCACATAACTACAAATAACTAGCAGACCCGGCGAACTTCGTCCCGCCCAAAATACATTTTTTTCATAAAACAATTCACGCAGTGTTGCCGTTGAGAATTTTCAGAAAGTTGCAAAAAAGGGGTAATTGACGAAAAAAAGGGTCACCATATTCTTTTTGCTGTTCTTTACTAGTAAAAGAATAAATCTGAGATCCAAAATCAAAATGAAATTCAAAAGTATTTGGCTGCTAAAACGTTCCGCTGATGAATTTAAAAAGATAATAGCGGGACAAGATTTGCATAAAACAGGATTGCAAACATACACGGAAATTGAGAAGAGTTGCATTTCCTATAAACGTTTTAGGTGATGCATTTTCATGGTTCTCTCAACTTTCCTAGGAAAATCTCTGAAAAGGGGCAAAAGTCACACAGAATTTTGGAAAAGGGTCAAAAGATCTAAATTTTCAAAAAGTCGGCTCAAAGGGCTTAAAGGGTGGCGCTTAAAAGGGGTGAAATTGCCCCTTTAGTCGCACCATGGCAACATTGAGTTCACGTTCACGATTTATTTGTTAATATTACGGCTTGGTGGTCGTCTTAAATAGCCTAACGAAAATGTTTTGTCCGCGAAGAAGTTCTTGGACTTTCCCGAATGATCTCGCGTTTCATTTGAAAAATTTTTTCCTCTTCACTCCCCGGCGGCAACAATGATCCGCTTCGATGGTGATGCTGTCCTTGAAACTGTATAGTGTAGCTGGTGGCAATTTCAAAATGGGCGAGTATCGACTTATTCCGTACATCAAACTACATATCGGATCTAGGTCGAATATTTGGTGATTTTAAGTCTTTAGTTG